AAAGATTATGAAGTGATAATATATGACGTCTGCACGCGTACATGATTTAATTATTACTGAGTAGCGTATAATTGTAATTATTATATGTGTATGTGTCGATAATTAACGAGAAAAGAATTCTACCGATAGTAAGATATAGCTGAACGATAACGCTTATGCGGGACTGAATAATAACAGCTTGAGAATAGGCGCCATGGACTGAATGAACGGCACTGTGATAAACACGTGGGTAAAGAAAAAGGCAAACGAGAAAATTCACGAGCCATTAAAAACGCTCGCAGGTATCTGCCCGTAGATATCTGCGCTCATGAGAGACTGCCATTCACGGGGTTCTTTCATTGTCGATGAATGAAGCATTCACACGTTCGCGCGTACTTTCGCCCGTATTCGTGACCTTTCGAAACTCGAATTTGTCGATCGGCAGGCGCAATTTAGCTTTGTCACAAAAGCGAGTCGCGATCACCATTATTTCACATAAAATAATAGTTTAAGTGTATTATTTTTTTATATTACAAAAGTAACAGATAGATATAAAAGTGTTAACAGGTGAAGGATTGAGGAGAATTTCAGAATTCGTTAAATCTTTACAAGTGGCAACGAAACCATCTGACAATGAGAAATGTGTAGCCAATCAACTTGCAGCTTTTATGGAATAGCTGCAAGTTGACGCATTTCTCGAAACTTGGACCAAGCTCTAACATCGTGGACACAGCCCGAGTCGAAATTTTGGCCCTATGTTAAATCTTTAATTCTATGATACAGTAGGACCTAAGACAGTAAAAGAGGTCGAACTGCAAGTACAAAATTTACTCTTACTTAAAAACTGATAGTGTCGAAAATTTCTACTTTTGCCAATTTAGCATTAAAGTAGGTCCTTTCTAGTAGAAGGTAAATTAAATTTGTGTAAGAAAAAAGTAGGTGTGTAGATCAGCTAAGTGTAAATTATCCTTAAAAGTGTCAAAGTAGTACTAAAATTTCGATTCGAGAGGCCTTGACAGATACACAAAATAGCGATAAATTTTTCTGAGCGAAGCTTCTATATCAGAAATAATTTTGTCGTGTTATAGCTTTAAACGTAACATTACGAAATTATTTCTGGGGCTAGGTAGCAGAAGCGAGCTTTTACGCGTTCAATATCAACTTGCTCGAACTTTGGACAGCAAATGTCCGTTACGTATGTCAAACGTGTCTAGTGAACAAACTTTTTCAAGCTTTATTGACACGTAACGAGAGCGCAGCGCATTATATTGCGCGATATAATGCACCGACGGCGCATAACAGCCGCATGCATTGATAGCAACCAGTTTTCCATATAACGGCGGGTGACACCGCCGTCCGAATCGTGCCAGTTATCAACTAGCCACGTGTGCAACCAAGTCGCAACGACGCTACATCACGTTCGGGCCAATTGTTTTATTATTCATCAGAAATCCGACGTCTGAGCACGCGATCTTTTTATTTCAAATTTCACGAAAGAAAACATTGTATCGCGAACGACTGCTATTTCAAGCGTTTCACCTCTTTGATAAGAGGTCGCTTATCTTATAAGCAAAATTTGTATATTCTATACACGAGACTACCTCGTAGTCACGATAGAAATGATCTCCGGTGTCGTTTACCTTCGGCGGCGCGGCAAAATCAATAGCAAGACGCACGACACTCCGCTGGCAGAACACTTTTAATGGCCAAACTAAAGAGAGAAATTTCGCGGCAAAACCGGAGTAGTAACGATCGTGCCGCGGCCACTTCCGCGCGAACGAATCAAGAGAATGTCGGGTGTTATTGTACCACAATGCTTGCTCTCTCTCCGCCTCGCGATCCGCCCTTCTGTTATTTCCCCGTAACCTCTCGCGGGCGGAGACGAACCGCACGATTCTCGGAGGTGCGAAAGCGAGCCGGCCTGAAAGATTTATCGCGACTTCTTCGTCGTGTTCGCGGAGAGGGTATCGGGGATCGCAGGCACGTGACCCAGCTATCAATCCGGCGGAGAAGCGAGAGGCGCGCTTCCCGGCCAGAAGCGCAGCAGCCCCCGCTCGCCCTCATTCTCCTCCTTTCTCGCATCTCACTCAACCACGTGCTCGAGAGCGACGGGCGACACTCGATCGGCGAGTCACGGGGATCTCGCACGCGGTGAATTATTAAGAAGCGCTTTCCGCGAGCCGGTGGTCCTCGGATGTCGCCGCTTCATTAATTATTCCTCGGTCTCGATGATGCAGCTCCCGCCAGGGCGCTGATTAAGCGACCTCCTCGCGCGCATCTTCCCGCCCGCGCCGCACGTGTCCCGAATGAAGCTGCGTTGCGCACGTGCGCGTCCTCGCTGCAGGGGGATTATCCGGACGAGCGTACGCTTCTCTGTGGGGTGTCTTTGTAGATCGTATCAGTTTTCTCGCGTTAAACTCGACTCGATATTTTCGGTGAGGCCGAGAGCTCGTTGTCTCACGACGTTGTGCGCGTCGAGCAGTGATAAGGTCGTGTCGCAAGGTCTCTGAATTCAATTTCATTCAAAATGTACCTAATATTATAATGGGGTAAAAGTAAACCGTGTATTTAATTGGCAAGTAGAGTACAGCCTATGAAATTCTTGTTAGCCTTAATTTTTATATGTAATGTGTGTATCACTAAAAATAATTTTCTATCGTTCCGTGCACAAGTGCGGGAATGTCCCTATTTCTGCTTTCTTGATTTCGAATAATGGAAGGTACACTTGTCATAAAATGACGACGGAATTCGAACGGAAAAGGTGCTTGCCCTCGCGACTCAAGCTGTGAAATCTTTGCGAATTTTTCGGGACGACCGAAATCGCGCTCCAAGTGGAAGTCACCTCGCAAATACGACATTCTCGATGGAAAGCAGTCGCGGGGGATCCGTCGGGGATGGAAAAGAGCGTTCGTTAGGATTTAAGGCTGCCATAAATCCGCTCCGGCCATTCCTTAAACCCTCCGCGCGCGAGTGGCGGTCAGCCCGGCTTTTACCAGATTGTATTCCTCGATATCTCCCCTTTGGACCCCACGTTCTCGAATTCGCCGTCCTTTCTTCGGCGGACTTCCGCTTGATCGCGACGATATCCGTCGACGTTGGCAGAATTTTTACGAATTCGATTGTAAATGCGGTAAGTCGAGAGAAATCGGCAACCTTCGTTCGAAGGTACGTGTACCAAGAGCACATTAGACAACACCATAGACCGTGGTGCATCGTAAATCATACATTGGATGTGGTGTTGTAACGCGTAAGTTAACTCGATGTTACTCGTAGAAATTTCGTCTAGTGTGACAAGCTGTCGTCTAACTTCAAAAGTATTCCGAGACTTTTTATTTGCGTTAGTCAAAATGCTTTTAAAAATTATTTTCGTGGTGCCTAGTAAATAAATGAACGAGAAGATCCTTCTCGTTCGAGAATTTCCTTCGGCAAGGCTAGCAGCCTACCGAAGATGAAGTAAAACCAAATGCTCAAAGTAGCAGAACTGAATAAAACAGACTTTAAGTCTAATACACGAGGAAGAAGAAGAAGAAAATTATTTTATAATTTTATTTCAAATAATTGTTATTTTTCTCGTATCAGCGTGTTTCTATTCGCTGCCATCTTGTCTCTTTTTGGTCTCCCAACAGTGGACACAATCGTCTCCTAATAGGTAGACCTGTTCAAGATTCTACATAAATCTAACGATCCGTCTTTTTTCTAAAGCCGATCGCCACCGTTACAAATCTGAGAGCATTATATATATTATCCCGCGCCACATCCGAAACTTGGTCCTTGCCGGGCTTCCCGGCCGGGACAAACGACAATTTACGGCCGGTCCCGAGATAGCCGCGGTTACCGGCGGGTTAAATCGCGTGAAATACTGCTTTCGGCACATTGGTCCAGCACAATTATTGATGGCACTTGGAGAGCAGGCGGAGAAGCGGGCAGCCGGGACCCGCGATCCGGAAGGGCCGCAATCAATGTGGCGTGCGGCACTTCGATTTAAATTCATGAATAATTCCTACCCCGCTGGCCCGACGACGCGACGATCCGAAGATCGACGAGCTTTTTCGGTCGTCGTCTCGCGCATTTTTCCCCGGCCCGTACTCGCGATTCCCGGTTCGCGCAGCGAGGATCAGACGCTGCCGCCGCGCCGGTAAATTTCGCCGGGTTCAGATTTACTGTGGACCAGACTTGGGCGTTATCCTAGAAAGAATTGCACCGCATCACCGTTTCCATTTGAATAATTTATTCGGATGACGATTGTCCGTTATTCCTATCCGATTAGTTCAACTAAAATAATTGTTCAGGTAATATTTGAAAATGTTTCACAAATGGCACCGTCGCTATTTCGATAATACGTAGTCTCCTTATTCATTTATTGTTTCAATATGTTCGAATAATAACTGTACACCTGATTATTCACATGCGAAGTCTATTTAACGTTGCTTAAAAGATTGTTCCTATTTTTATTAATGAAATATTTGCTAGCAAACTTGGACGCGACGCAATTGCGCTCCAGGTTTACGGTCGTCGTGAAAAGTTTGGCCGATTTTCCGCCGACAATTCCGATCGTCAATCGGGTAAATGAAAAGCACGAACGATTTGACGGTGATTTATTAATCATGCCGCTCGTCGCGCGTTACCACGAATAAATTATGACGAGTGCGCGCTGATTAATTACAAGTCAATTAACGTCCCCATCCTCCCCTCCCCCCCCCCCTTCGGCGAAACGAACAACGAATAACACGGCAACTGGCGTGCCCGTTGCGCGACGCTGCGAACACTTTATTAAATCCGGCATTAATTAATCACACTCGCACCGGCGATACCTTTCCGCGACGCGCGATTGCTCGTATCGACGTCATTATTGCCGATTCATTATTCACGACTGTCGCAACGACGTCGATTTTGTTTTTCAGGGCGGCGCGCGAGCGCTGAATTTCGCGCCGCCGCATTAATTACCATCCTTTTCTCTCCTCGCTTTCTTTCCGTCTATCGGTTACCGTCATTAATAAATGTCACCGTTCCAATTGTTGCAGAGGGAGGCCACGCAACGAGATGTGGAACGAGAACGCCGGCAGCGAATGGAGGCCGAAGCTCGGGTACGCGAGGCTACGGCCGAGGCTGAAAGAGCGCGCTCGAGAGTCCATCATCTTCAGAGAGAGCTGGCCAGGTGAGAGACTTTGGAGTTTAGCTGTTCCCTCGAAAGAGAATACGATGAAAGTGTCGAACGTCGTTAAATCAAAGTTGAGAATCTCGCCTCCCTTTGATTTCCTTCTTCAGTATATTCACAGCTCTTTCCTCTTCCTGTATACGTTTTACGTCTTTCCATGCTTTAGAAAATTTCGAGGTCCTGTTGGCTGAAATTTCAAATCCACTCACACGACATGACTCGACCTAACTTGCTTCTTGTTTAAAATGGCGTATGTACGATAGGAACTTTACTACAAAAAATTGCGGTAAACTTTTGTTTCAAAAGTAGAATATTTAAAACAGAAGTTTTAATGGAAATTTTTTTTTAGAAAGATAAGCGCATTTGAATAGTCTCGTTCCTTCTTCGCGAGTGTTCTTTTTTTGCTCGTGTAACGCAAGCGGAAAGCGAGAGGGGATCGCGACTGCAAATCGGCTTACAAAGTTTCCGCCAATAATTCGAGGCCGTCGTGTAGCACGCGAAATCGATTTCTTCCCGTTCCTTCGCAGCCTCTCCGCTCCGCGAAAATCGCTTATTTCACTCGCGGCCGTGCAGACGGCATTTTATTTCCTGTGTGCGATACATAAATATAAAAGTGCCGGCGTGTAACGTATAAATAATGAGACCGCACGCGTTTCCCACGCAATAACCAACGGATCCAATGGTAAATCATCGGTATTGGCTCTCGACCATAACGTCCTGCGATTCACCCATCTAAATAGCAATCTCCTTACGCCTTTGTCGGCCTCCCCTGCTCCGATTTATTATTGCGAATATCGAAACATTGCAGCATCGCGATACCGCGCGTCTGGAATGAAAAAGGGCCCTTGATAGTGTCGATTAACGAGATATATTTCTTCTACTGAAAGCTGTTAACGATATGAAAATATGCTGCCACCATACGTTATTTCAGAGACAGTCTTGCTTTGAGGAACAGTTGTGTTTTTTGCCAACGGTCTTTTGTTTGACACGCTATTTTGATATTTTATACAATTGTTTTAATTTTCGAACGTCAAGTTTAGGAATGAGAAATGTAATGAACTAGAAAGTCGCAGATAAAAAATTACAGATTCGAATTGATCTGTAATTGTATTAAATTCCTGCGGTATGAATGTTCCATTGATTCGTTATAAAAGAATTAGAATCTCATCTCGCGCTTTATCCAAAGAAATATTTTTCAGATAAATACTTTTATTAATCTCGATAGAGTATCCGAATCGATGTCGTCGAATCCCTTCGGAGAAACGTTGCGGGCATAAATGGATTTCTTTATCGTCGGGGCCATACATGCGGATTATTTGCCGAATTATTCGATAGATTGGCGCACATTGGTCACGAAGGAAGGCCTGCGTGTACATTTCTGTCAAAACCAACGATTCGTTTCGCCAAGTGCACGATAGGAAAGCCCTTCAAACGCGGTCCTTTGACTCGATACCGTCGAGCGCAAAATAAAAGAGGAATCTTCTTTTTCCCGGGGATCAATAACACGCCGTAGAAATTAAACGGCCGCACGGATGGCCGGGGCTTATCAACGTGACTGGCGATAAAAATTGCGGACCCATTCCGATATGGAATATTGCAAAGCAAGTATGGTCGTGCGGCGATACAAAACTAAACTATGGCGTTTTCATTCAAAGAGACGTTGTCTTCGGACCAAGCTTGCTCCTTACATGCAAATCTGTTGCATATAAGCTTGTGTTGTTTTGCATTCAATTATAATACATAAGTTTGGTAATAAATTTCGTGTTTTTGTCAACATCATTTTGAACTTTCCGAGGGAATTTTTCAAGCGTTATCCAAAACACACAAGAGTATGCCAGATTCGCAAAAGAAATTGTTGATCTATAAAAATTTGGTAAATTTTTACCTAAAGACATATTTTTATTTTTATGACTTCCAGTGTAAATTTTTGCGAAACTCTTTTTCGGCGTAGAACCAGAGAACTCCATCAGTTATCTGAAAATTCTCGGGATGGAATGGCATGCAATAATTTCGGGATTAAACGTAAGATTAGTGACTCGAATAAACATGGGATTACCGTGAAGGAATTTCGGGGTCTTGGCACGATCCACGTGGATTCTTATTTGTTCTGTTACACGCGGTTTCAGGGAAAAATGGTCCGTCCACCGGCACGGCGCACCACGCATGAGCGATGCGTGTACAGCAAATTGATATCCCTGTTTTACAGCGTGCAACGTGACATGATGCATTATAACCAGCCGGATATGTCGGCATGACTCGGTTCTCTCCGCTGTCGTGAATGAATAATCACGCGGTGTCCGTTGCGACGCGTCTGCTCGCTTCCCTTCTGTGTCCCTTACGTCACTCCTTACGTCCGATTTAATCCCGATAAACATGAAACATTGCCGAATTTCAATTTTCCACCGACGCCAAATTTCTCCTACTTGAAGCTCGCATTAATGTTTTTATGTCGAGATAGAATTTTATCAAATATTTTAGTAAAGTGAGCGAATATTTGGGGAAATTGACGGATGAGGACGTGTAATTAAATGTTAGAAAAAATTATTCAAGTTCTTAAAGCGATCCTCAGATGTCTTCCTTTTTTCGTAGATTAAACATTGAATTGACAACGTTGCAATTTTTATTATCAATTAAAAACAATTTGACAGTTTCATATACAATAATAATTGAATATATTTCCATACATCCAACATCGAGACAGATATCTCTTGCTAAAAATTGTAAACCGCGATAAATGTTGAACGCAATGTATCGCCGCGTATCGGCGGCTTTCCCCGGGAATTTTTGCCTTTCTTCCTATCGATATAAATCAGGTCCCAGGTATTTTCTTTACGGTAGTTTGCCGAAAGCACTTCTCGATAACGCAGGGCTCATTGTCGGAGCTGACCGGCCGGGCCGGACGACACTTAAAATTCCGAGCTTCGGCATCTCGAAATGCGCACTCCGACCGCTCAATTAAACGTGATCTTTTGTTCCCACGGTGCGTACCCCGGCGTGGAATGTAGTCGCGATCGCGGGGAATTAAAAATGCGGCCCTCGTACTGGAAGTGGCTTTTTACGAGCGGCCCGCGAGAGTGAGAGCGCGGCATTATTTTTACGCGGTCGGACACGAAATTGAATTTTCCGAGCCCTTTCGCCCTTTCGGTACGACGCTGCAGAGAATCCTATTAACCACACGTAGGAACAATGCAACCTAAATAGCCGTACGTACATGCGAAGGAGGCAGGGAATGGAAAGTAGGAGAGAGAAAGGTGTTCGCGTGGCGCACGTATGTACATACGTCGGCCCTCCGTTTCTCGGATTTTCTCGGATTTTCCCTCGTGCGGACAGGCGATTTGAAAATGCATTCATTCGCTCGGCTTTTCTTCGATAAATTGTTGGAATAAGTAATGAGGTACCAGGGGAAATACCACGTCGAGTAAATTATATATTCAACAACATATCCGCGTGAATAATTCAATATTGAGGCAGAATTGATGAAAAACCACGAAAGTCGCAATTAAAAATATTGATCCGAGAGACTTGTGCAATGTAATATTATTTTGCCGACGACAATGATTCCATATAAATGAAACTGAATGAAACTGAATAATACTGTGTTATATCCGAAAAGAAACCGGCGCGAAGGACAAAGTGGAAAATGGTATATGAATTCACATTTTAGATAACAATTATTGGGCTACCAACATCTCGCTCGGACCTAAAGGCGCTCTCGTTTGTTTGTAAAATTATAGTTTACATAAAATTTGTACACTCTTAGGGCCAGTTTCACAAACATCGGTTAACTGCTAAATGGCCCTTGAGCTGGTACCGTCAAATTCGAGACTCAAATTTCCAAGTAGAAATGAGATTCGAGTTACACACTGATAGGAGATACTTTTCCCGGTATATTGATCGCGTAGATAATTTACCTCCTCAAAATAAAACTCCTAATTACTATCTATTTGGTGGATTTCATGTCTCTTGTAATTACGTGTGGTTTTTATTCTAACGTGTATCTCCAATTTTTGGCAATACATCATTAGCAGTACATGTCTTAATGCTGTCTTATACTCTTAAGACAACGTTTTGTGTTTTAAGCCTTTGTCTTGAGGTAACGCACAATAATTGTCTTAAGAGTGCAAGACAGCCAGTCTGCTCAGGCCCTTAGAGTGTAGCTGTTGTCTCGTTCAGGCTCGCAATGCCGAGCGCAGATTGTGTGACGAGACTCGTCCAGCCGGTGGACGGTAAAATGTAACAAAATAATACTCCATTCGCGACGGATTAAATTCGGGGGAGAGGGGCTCGTGTTGTAGTTCGAAACGCGGCGTTTTGCTCAAGTAGAAAAGGAAGATGCAACCACGCGAAGATATCGATGCGCGCTATTTCGCGGATATGAAAGCGAGCCGTTTTCAAAGCCGCTCCTCGCGCCGGAAATTAATCTTCGTGTCCCGCGCAATCGTGTGTGCTCCACCGAGCTCCCAGCATCCGTTCTACCGGCGTCGATGACGTTGTTACGGGGTGTAGTTCGCCGGGCGTGTATCTCCCCCCGGTGCGACCTACGAGGTCCCAACGTGACGGCGACGGTGTTAACGAACGCGAAATCGACGTGTCCCCGACACGCGTAAAACCGGCGCGGTGGCCGTAACAATTTCCATATGATAATGACCTCTCGGCGTACACAAAGGGCGCGCATCGCGTCAACGCCGCGTGCGCGCGCGCGCGATTGAACGCCGGATACCTGTTTATTCTGCCGACTGCGAATTTGCAAAGCTCACGCGTGCGTGCGTCGAGGACGTGCGTGCCGCTGCCACTCACGCGACTACCGATACGTGTAAACAGTAATTACAATAGCGCAACCGGATGAACCGCGCGCCCTAACGTCGGAGATTCGTCCTCGGAAATGGAAAATGTCAATTTCGTACCAATGATTAAAGCGCATCTATTTCTCTCACTTAAATATACTGTGTATATTTTTGCGATAAAAGTTTGCTAAAATTGGGAGAAGAAAAATGTGCGGGCGTATAGTTGCTCTGACCATGTTCTTGAATGGGCTGTGCGGCATCAAGGAGCGTCTTTTTTGCCTGCGATTCGAGGCTGCACAGTACCCCAGAATCATCGTAATCGAATTTGCCGAGCAACAGTTGTAAATCATGAGGACCGGCTTGCCCGTGCCATGTGTTTCGAGCGAAAACAGAGAGAAGTAGAAAAGGAGGAGAAAGTGTGGGCGAGGGAGCGCTGCTTGGGGGAGCTATGCCCCGTTTTAAGGGTGCAGCAATTGCGAGCGTTACTTCGACGATCGATCCTGCTCTCGCACGGTCTTTCGTACTTCCTCGCCTAGCTAAAAATGTAAAACAGCAAACGAAATCAGGCAGTGACTATTCGCCGTTTTCAGTGATAATTCGCTCATTGATTTTTAGAGAGTGTCTCCCGAGAGTAGTTTTTCCGAGTCGAGATTATTGAAATTCTCAAGACTCTGTAAAGTCCTAACGATCCAAACACGCAATACTATAATTTTCCTTTTATCAGGTCTAAAACATATAAGTCTCTGAAGTCTATACAGTCCAGAACATGAACTGTTGAAGTACACAAATGTGTATTAAAAGTATTTCTATGACATATACCCTCGCTGAGGTAATATTTTTCGCAATAAATTTAAAATATGAAATATTTCGACAGTAACTCCCTGTCACGGCTCTTACAATTAGTCCTTTATTCCTTAAAATTTGTGTTTATCACATTTAAGCCATACGAATTTTCATTAATTTGTTATATGTATTAAATTCCTTATCATGGATTTAGTTATCCAATTAGCGAGACGACCACGATTTCTCCGCGCGCGATGCCATGAATTTACCTTTATTAAATGTCAACGGAGTACAATCGAATTGAAACTCATAACTGGCTCGAAAGTTACTTCGGCAAGGACATAAGCAACGATATCTGTCCTATGGGGGTCGCCGATGGGAAGACGGAGGGTGTTGCCAGGCGCTGCGGCAACCTCTCGCTCGAAAGCCTCCCTCGAAAAGCTTAAATCGGCTTCATATCTCAGCCGCGCCCTCGCATCCCTAATCAGATCATTAACCCCGCGGAGCGTTCGCGCATGAGAAAGTTCGCCAAACAAAAATCCTGATCTTTCGATTTGCTCCTTCGTGAGTAATGCGAGAAAAGAAGCGGGATTGACATCGAGGAAATAACGAGACCCCGCCGCCCGAAGAATATGAAATACATCCAGAAACACTTTGATCTACTTAATATTCGAGTCTAGAATCGTTAAGAGAGTGTCAGTGAAAAGTTACGTATCAAAGACAATTGTCAAACTTGGAAATTGTGCAAAGTGTCTTAAAGAGAGATGTCTGTAATCCGTGAGTTTAATGGTGGTCGAATTGGTGGACGCCCGCCTAGAGAGTAGAGAAGTCCAAATTCAAACCCTGGCTGAGGTAATATTTTTCGCGAGAAATTTTCTGTATTATTAAAAAATGCCAGATATGGTCGATGAAAACACACTGAAGTTGTTAATAGTTCATTTTAAATGAAAGCATCGCGAGTCTCGAGCACTTGCAGCGCGCGTAGCAATTTATAATTACGATTTCAAAAATTTGTACGTAGAGCGGACATAAGACAAGAATAGATAGTGTCAGCGAAGGAAAGAGATCTTCTTAGCAAGTTCTGACGAGAATGGAATCTCTTTTACCAAAAGCGAGGCCCTTCAGGGCCAAGGCGAGGCCGACGAGAGGGCAAATAAATTTCCGCACAGCACAATAGAAAGCCGTGGAGGAGCTACGAGAATCGTCTCAATGGTTCATTCAATTAGGATCTTTTCAAAACGGGGATTAAAATCCGCGAGCTTCCTCACGCTGACGGTTCTGATTTGTTGTTGCAGAATGGAGGAGTCGTCGCGGAGTCTGCTGCAACAGAAGCACCGGGCCGAACAGCTGAAGCAGGAGAAAACGGCGCTCACACTGTCCTACGAAGTACGTAAGACCGTCTGATTCTCACGGATTGTTAACTTTAGATCTTATCAAAATAATTTCTATAAATTCCTTCTTCGTAATCTTATAAATGAAAATATCAAGTCCACCATTTTACGGCGCTACATATCTAGCGATTTATTATTATAATTTTAAAAAAGTCTTACGCAGAACGAGCGTGAGATAAAAACAGGCTTCGATAATATTCGGAAACGCTCAAGATGGTTTCGGAATGGCCATCGACTCGGTCTATGTTGTCTATTATGTCTAAGGTCGCAACCATTCTGTCCATCACTGTACGGGACAGGAGATTCTCACAACGACCCAACGAATTTAGAGACTTGCTTCCGTCTCTGTCAGTCAAACGTAGAGGTGCACGAGGCGACGACACGCGGAGTAGATAATCGACGTTGATACGCGATCAGACGACAATCGAGCACTTATTGTTAGGGATTTGCGCGTTGTGAAGTATACGGTGCTCGCGTGGAAGCCGCAGCTCTATGACAGTCCCGTAAAAGGTTTCCCCTTATCCAATAATACCGGCCTCCTTCACGGCGACGTGCCCTTATTGTATTTCACCGCGCGAGCACTCGGCCCGGATTGTCCCGGGCATTGTTACAAACCCGAAATTTTGCTCGGTTCCCGTTATTAAACGTCAAGTAGCGTGCCAGGTTCATGGCGGCTTTGTCTCGTTTCGCGTACATCGCTTGTACCATCAGGGTTGTGCGATCTAATTCCTCGATTTCAGCTTTTGCCAAGATCCACGATTCCTCCTTTCCCTTTTTCGCAACTTTATCTTATTGTTTCACTTTGCTTTTTGAGAGAGTAATCAAATTACGCGGTACAATGAAATGTCCCAAGTAAAACTTCCAGTGTAAGTAAAATTATATCACATTTTGTTAAATGCATCTATTGTTATTCGTGTTAACTGATTAAATTTTGAAGATTTTAATATAATATAATAATATATATGTATAATATAATTTAATATAATACACAGATTTACTTTCAGTACAAAAAGTAATTTTAAGTAAATCTATTTATTTAGTTAAAAAAAATTTTTTGTCAGTGTACAGTGATGATTTAAACTGCGAAAAACTGAAATTGTTCGGTAAAGAATACTGCTCTGTAGTTGCAAAGATTTAGTTTCCACCTCATTCTCGCAGCCAAGATTGATCCTTGCGAAAGCCTTATCACGGAATTGCATACACAATATTATAAAAAATTCTCCCAGAAAATGAAATATCGACATTTTCAATTCCTGTCTCGTATTTTCTGTACGCCGTGACGTGATTTCGCATTAACTCCCCCTAGTATTGGGAAATTTTCGAATCGGTACCGCGCGAATCGCGAAGCGATTCCGGAATGGACGGCCCCGCCATCCTACCGAAAAGAATAGCGCCGATAAACCTGCCCCCTTCGCGCTCGCCTCTCGTTTCCGCAATTCGCAACTCTCGTAAAGCTCTCGCGGGCGATGATTTTCGACGTGAAACGCGTATGCCGCGGGGGCCCAGGTAATAAAGGGAGGGAACAGTAAACGCGGACGTTTACTGCCGATCCTTACGGCACGCGCGCTATCTCGTTCACGGGCGGTTTGCCCCTAAAAGAGTCGTACCGTGCCGGGGGTGTCTTCTCTCCTCTCCCCCGCGGTGGCAGTAGCAGCGGCGGAGGGAACGGGCGAGAAGGTGAAGCTATATCGCCATCCCCCCACGAAATAATGTTTAATATCGATCGTCACTCGATCCCCAGGTTTGATGTCGACCCGCCGCCGCCTGTCAATGACAAGCCGCGCAATCTCTACGGGAAGCGTAGTGTATATTACGCCTGAAAGCACGAATGTACTTCTGCTGCTGCTGCTGCACGTTGACGATCTGCGAAGAAGAGAAATTCTGTCGAGCCGAACTCGGGCGACAGTCACGTCTTGAAGGAATTGCGGGACTGATACCTTAAAGAGAAACATTGAGAAACTGATTCGAAGGAATAAAGGAGTAAGAGCCAGGACAGGATGTCTAAATAATTTTAATTTCAAAATTTATCGCGAAAAATATTATCTCAGCCAGGGTTTGAACCTGGACCTCCCCCTACTCACTAGGCGGGGAGTCTCACCAATTCGACCACCGAAGCACGTGATAATATTCATCGCAATAAACAGTCTAACGTTATTGCGATTGAGAAACTGAGCTCATGACGTGTAGCAGCGTTTGATAGTTGAGACCATTTCATTGTTTAAAAAATAGATACGTTATAAAAATTATATTCTCCCCTGTGTTATTAATTAGTACGAGAGAGTTCGACATCCGGGCTTCGCTCCAAATTAGCTAAATGTAGACGTGGAGAAATCGAAAGGATTTTTTTTGTATAGTCGTTCCTTTGAGCAAAGTGTGTATACTTTGGGATCTCCGCGTCGTTGGGAAATAACGCGTGTCGACGGGAATTCACAGAAGGTGGACGGTCTGCACTTTTACTCTCCCTCAGGCCGAGGCACGACAGAAAATCGTTGGTTTCCTCGCTCGATGCGACGCGGGGGTGTGTTGGCGAGGGCCGACTGTTATAAATCAGACACACGCACCCTCTATTAGCGCCCCTGTCCCCGACAGGGTTCTCCGCGGCCCTAATTCAACGTTAAACGCCTTTCTGCTAATAACGACCGGTTATTATTACCGTGCCCGACCGCGAGTCGCGAGACAGAGACTCGTCCGCGTCGCCGATAAACAATGTACCCGATCGTTCGCCGGATTTCGACTCGTTTCTCCCGCAACTTGCCGTTTAAAGGGCCGATTCGAGGCAAACGGCAATAAGAGAAGCGAACCGGTCACGAACCTCACCGCTCCGTAATTGCTTCCGTTTGGAAACGAAAGTAAGGAGGTCCCGGCAGTGGCGGGTTAAAGTTTTTAAAGGCCTCAACTACAAACTGAGGCTCCCTATCCGATACTGAAAATCAGACGTTGGAAGGTTCTCCAACTAGAGAAAGAACGATAGCGGCATCGTGAAAGCATTTGAGAAAAATTCTGGTCCACGTGTAGCAAAATTATTTCCTACAAACAAGTTAGCAAAGTTGAAATCATGGAGAATAAGTTGTATAATTTTACACAGAGAGAATTTTCTTCTAAAATGTTACCCTGAAAATGAGAAATTATACAACTTAAAGTACTGTTGGACGTAAGGTATAATTTTTTATAATTGGAAAATGTAGCAAAATGGAGAGAGAAATAGATGTTTGATATTTTCGATTATGCCCAAATGAGAGACTCGCGCGTTTACGTAATAATAATAATCCTTCGCTGCTGTGTTCACCCCACGTGTAGTCCCGCGAGTGGGTATTTAAGAAGCAAATGGCAATCGTCACGAGTGGCACGACGTAATTACTCCCATTTGAGAGCAGGGGTAAGAAGACCGTCGGATGTTCCAAGTATTTTAAGAACGGATAATTTAAGAGCGGTTCCGTTCCGTAATAAGACCGCCCGTCGAAGTAATTGCGGAAATATCCGCAGTGCTGCCCGGGATATTTAAATCTCCGCGATCCGCGGCCGGTCGATTTTCTTTTTACAGTGACCGAGTTAAACGTGGGCGCACGATGCTTTAACACACCCGGGAGTCGCAAGGGGCGGCCGTGAGTCGCCGCGGCTTGATAGGATCGAAACAATCCATTAGCGCTTAATTTTAACGACCGCCGCGCCGGGGATTGAGCTTTAGCGCGTGCTATAACGTGGGATATTTATGGAGTACTACTGGCCTTCAGTTGGTCCGCAATTTTTTACTTTCACACTGAGTTAAGATCGAGATTTAAGATCGCGAGTGTGCTTTAAATAGGTTCAGAACCGCCGAATATATACGAAAGTGTGGTTGGTCGGGCAACAATTTATTCTACATTTTATTAGATGATCTATAAACGTCCTGGAAATTAAAATGCCAGATCTGCTGTTACCTTTTACCTTGTTGCATACGTAATTCGGATATTGTGGAGGAAGAAATGAAGCAGTGGATTATCAAGGGATATTTTTACAATTTATTTATATAGTCAGAAATTCTAGGTCTTCACAAATTAGGTTTTGTAATTGTGACGTTGTTGTCTCTTCACTCAAAAAAGATGTTTTACTAACGCAGGTAGATTTCTCGGTGTCGCGATAAAAATTTATCGCTATTTCTTGTATCTGTTAGACAATTGTTTGTAGCCTGCAAAATTTATAGCAGCAACATTCTAGCAATACCTTCTGAAAAGTTTAGAACAATCTTTGTAAAGGTCTGTGTCCACTGTTGCTAGGTCTAAGTTCTAGTTTGGAGAAATATGTTGCCAATCAACTTTTATGGAATAGCTGCAAGTTTATTGGCTACACATTTCTCGAAAGTAGAACTTGGACCAAGTTCTAGCATCGTAAACACAGGCCTTAAGGCATATAACTGTTTATGTACTACAATCAAACGTTATAATGGATGGGCGCCACAGAAAGACTTTCTGCCTAACATTTAATAACAGTTGAAGTAAAAATTCTGTTTCTGTTATTTAAATTGATTAAACATATGCGATTTCGTAGTATGGGTACTATTCATTTATATATCTCAGTTATTCTTTGCGTACCTAGAAAATTGTTGCTGCACTTGCAAGATTTTTTTTTCAATGTTAAAGTGTTTGCCGAGTTTTACTCTTTAACAAAGTGTTTAGTTGTTTACTACATTTTGAAATGTAGAGAAAGAAGGATAATTTCACATTATTGAAACACTATTACAGACATTGTAGATAATAATAATTATTAGATGTAATATTAATTAGTTATAATGATGATTATTATAATAATATTATATTTGAATAAAGTGCTAGCAACAAATAATTATCCCGCGTCGTTGTAGCGTGTTGTAATTAGAGATGTTACTGTTAATTTTCAGATCCGACCGCGATAATTCCCGCGCCGTTATAACGAATTCCGGATTATGCTTATTACGGTACCGTCGCGTCGCGCAACACCGTTGATAAAATATCATTAACAACTCTCTATCCCTGCGTCGTCTCTGCGCGACGTGACGTAGTTGAGAGGCGGTCGGGGTGGTGCCAGGAATAATTTTCGCACGTGTGTTCGCAGGCGCGCGTGCACCAGTACCAGGCGCAGATATCGAAGCTGCAGCTGGAGAACGAGTCGATGCGTGGCCAGCTGCGCGGCCTCGAGGCGGCATGCGCCGGTGAAGTGCACGCCGCGCTGGTGGCACGTTTGGCGACCCTCGAGACGGAGCACGCGGCCCTGGCGCGGGACGCCGACGCCCAGCGTCGGCAGTACGAGCGGTGCCTGGACGACGTCGCCAACCAGGTGGTCCGTGCTCTCCTATCCCAAAAGGTTCATCGCTATGCTCTCGTTACCACCCCCTCCCCCTGTTTCGCTCCCTCCGAGTAGCCCGTATCCACCGCGACGAAAACGCGTGCTCTACGAAGGCTGTTACGGACATGGGATGCCGAACAAGTTGCGTATAAACTTTGCAGTTCTTGCTGGAGAATTCAGCAAGAAGAGCTTCCTCGGGCGATTCAACAAAATTTCATCTTTCTTTTTCACCGTAGTTTTAGATTATTCATAGAATACACGCGGACGTAAGGTATTCGAGAGATTAGATTCCCGGCATTCTATAATAACGTTCAGGATCTTTCGCGCTTAGAATAACAATAATGACGTTCAAGAGCGTTAATCCTTTCACAGTTTCGAGTAATAGAATATTAGATTATTTGAAGAATTAAATGGTACGCGGTACAAGTCTAGGCACATTCAGTATCGATTTTAAAATTTTACTTGAAAAATATTTTTTCTTGAAAGGATTAATCAGCCGCTAACACCCCAGTGAGAAATGATTGGACGTCGACGTCGATCGACGAATCATTTCTCACTGGGACGCTTCACCCTATCCGCTGATGCGCTTTTTGAACGGTATATTATCGCGAGATGTATCGAGTGAGAGTACTGATGGCCAGCGGATGTTCTCAGGGTCTCAGAGAGGAAATAGGCGCGTTGCAGAGACGTATACGAGAGCTTGAGGCTCAAAATCGAGCATTGTCGGGACTCTTGGCGCAGGCTGCCAGTCCCGGAAGCCCAAACGAACTTATCCAAGGAATCCTCGAGGCTGGTCCAGCCGCCCTGGTCGCCGCCTTGGGTCTGGACCCTTCCTGGGTCCCGCTCTCGAGGCCGCGCTCCCTCAACTTGCAGATACCCGTGATGGCAGCCACTAAGTGCCGACGCAGCAGACCTCTTGGTACTAAATCATCTTTCATCGCGATAATGCAATTTGTCGTGGAATCAAACGTAGCTAAAACTGTTTGGCAAATCTTTGCTTCGTTTTTGTAATATTTTATTATGACTTGATGTTATACGCTAATGATGCAATGCAGTCTAATGAGATTAGACGAAACCGTGACGCTCTTCCGAACTGATGGACCGATTCGTTCGCAGCCCAAAAGCCGTCGGAAGAGGAGGGCAGCGAGAGCCCGGAGAGCGGTAATCGCGACGAGGGCTACTCGACCATGTCGAGCGACGTCCAGGGTGAGGGCACGCGTCAGGAACCGTCCGCGCGCGGCCTCGAAGATCTGAAGGAGGCGACCGACGAGACCGAGGCCGACGTGTCACCGGACGCGCGCCTCGTCGCCCTCGACGTCGGCGATCCGGATGTTCTCTTCCTACCTCTGAATCTCACCGTGGGCATCAATCCGCGCCACAGCTATCCGCCGACTAAGGACCTGCTGCCCTATCAGCACGTGATGCGCAGCTTCTCGGATAGCCACCTCTGTCTCAAGCTTACTACCACCGCCAATTTTACACCGTACAAACTGCCTAGCCCCATGGGATCGTCTTCCCTCTTGCTGGTGGAAGAGGAGGGTTGGGACGCCGAGTACGTGCAACAATGGCTCAGGTTTGTTTGCTACGCATCAAAAGGCCTCGAAAGGCGTGTAATTGCGTATTATGGAGACATGATTCTTTCATACGAGTCTTTTCTATTTTATCAGTGTTATTAATTTCTCTTATGAGATTCGTTAATTCAGCGTGAAAATACGCCGGAATTGACCACCGCACGGGTTTCAGGCTCGATGATAGTAGAAGCGCGCAACAACACCGAGATCTGCTCGAATTGGAGTACGACAGGGCGGAGCTGGAGGATTGGAGCTTCTCCCTGTCCACGGAAGACCTCGCACAAAATGAATCCGCAATGTGGAAGGAGCAACCAGCTACTACAAACACGCCCGCCCTGCCGGCAATCAAGGAGCATAATCTCCTGGAATTGGAGGAGGACGCGAACGAGTGTCTGTGGAATGGCGCGAGCTATCTCGCCGACAGGGCTGGAGGAGAGCTGGTATGTATGTCGAGTACACACGACATCGATCGATGCCTACGACGTTTGTTCAGTTATCCTAATAAAAATATCCTAATAAAAGCACTACGAAAAATTTTATGCATTGCAGTCAAATTCGAATAAACGCATATATCAATGTTATTTTTAATTCGCAAAAGAGTTAATTCTCAATTAATTTAGACTTGCCATTTATCACCGCGACTTAATATTAAAATATTTTATATCGAACACGATTTATTTCAATATTCCAGATTATCCCAGCACTTATTTGCCTGTCTTTTACTTGTCTTTTACTCTTCTAAATTTTATTAATATTTCTTTTTTAATATTTAATTAAATTTTTTTAATATTTCAAGAGATATGACAATTTAATAATCAAACTGGCAATCGTAGCGCGCACAGAGATGTGCGCCACTCTAGTAAATCGAAGATCGGAATTCAAATCTGGCCAAAAACTAAATTTTTTTTTTCATGAAAACTTTTGTAGGAACATTACTTTCGTGTTTGTCCATTTTCTCTCCCAAGAAACTTGTTAATATCTTGCAATGGATAAGTTTAGTCGACCTTAACTGGCACGTGTTTAATAAATTAAAAATTAAAAAGAAGTCATTCTCCGGCCATGGTAAACAGTGTACATATTTTATCTGTGTGCCGTTAATTTTATAATCATGACTCAACTCTGATTAATTTTTAAGAATTTGTGCTTGATAAGGACCTAAACCCTTGATCGAAACGTCGCACTGTATATTAAAAAAATTTTTGTTTATTACACACGTGCCAGTTAAGGTTGACTAAACTTATCCATTGTTATTTATTACTGGCAACCTAAAGATATTATCATCTTGCAAATATTTTCTGTAATATACATGAAAACTAATTTAGGATAACTCGGCTAATTACGATCTTTTATTTCCCAGGTTGCGCTTTTAATGGACGCGAGAGCGACTGGACCCTGGCCGTACGCCTCGAGTCCCGGAGCATCCTGGAGCAGCGAGGAAGGTGCCTTGGAGAACTCGAGTAAGCGTTCGTCAGCGGCGCTCTCCGGCTGCAGCGACGATCCCGACACTCCGTCAATCGGTACGGACTTCACCAGAGATTTTTACCGGCTAGTAAAGTTCGAGAGTACCAAGAGCCTGGCGAGCACGTCGTCCAGAAGCGGTAGACCGCCGCCGGACAGAGAACAAGCTCTTCAGAGCGTCCTGTCTTTCATCGCCGAACAACAGATGTACCTCGCGGAGTTACCGAATAATCCCGTTGAATCGCAGAACGTGTCTCACTCGACCGAAGGTGATTATAATCAAACCTATTCGCTAATTGAACAAAGAACGTTTCGTGTTGTCTATTTTCCATTCAAATTATCGTTAACATAAATTATACAGAAAGCAAATTAAAGAATGATTAATGAAAAACTTTTAAACAATAAAATTCATAAGGCTCTGACGTGAAATTGCGAAAAATTTACCTCAACCAGGGTTTGAACCTGGACCCTCCCTACTTATTAGGCTCACTAATTCGACCACCGAAGCATGTGGTAATATTTGTCGCGATAAACAGTCTAACGTTATTTCACGAATGTCACACATCGTGACTGAAACTTTTTTAATACATAGCGATAAAGGATTGGAATTAAATTGATGGAGAAAGCATTAAAAAGTGTTTTAAATCGCGCCACTTACAGAAGTGGGCCCTAGCAAAAGTGACTTCGCGGGGGAGACGAAGGTGGCAGAGGTGGAAGGATCGTCCGCTCAGGAGAGCAGTGCCGGAAACGCAATCGAAACGAGCAGCAACGACGAGCTGCTCGACCAGATACACGTGCCACCGTTGGCATCCGAGGAGAGGATTGTAAGCGCCGTATCGTGCAACGGCGGTATCGCGTACACGACGGTAGCTCCGTCGGAGTTGGGAGCCGTTCCGGAGGAGGACGAAGAAGCCGCAACTTCCTCTACGCCTAGTACGGTTGTAAGTTTTCGAATACTAGTCAAATTTGCACGAAACAGCGCCCGTGCAATTTCCTTATTTTCCCGAAGAAATAATTTGCTTGCTTGAAGAAAAGATTCGCGGCTTTAATGATAATTTAATTTCCAGCGAAAGGTTTTGCTGTAGTAACGATTACGTGATGCTCGTACAGGTCAGCCCGGCACGAGCGACGCTCCTCGTGGAGGGCAGAGATCGAACATTGAGCTTCCATGAACGCGCCACGTCTAAGGATGTTATAGACGAATTGAACCGCATGATTCGAAAGGGCGAGGAGAATACCGCCACTAACGTCGCTAACAACGAGTCAGTACAGCTGGAGAAATTGGATCTCGCTTGCTGCTGTCCGACTGGATGGGTTCACGTTGAACGTGACATTGACTTCACCGACCCCAAGGTGAGTTGCCTGCCAAAACTGAACTACACAAGTTTCACAGATAAATAATAATACTCGTAGATAAAATATACTCTGATTTCATTACGGACATAAAAATCGCTCGCTAGAAATTACTTAATAAAGTGCAATAATTTTTCAGTTAAAGCATCCACAAATGAAAGATATTACGTAAATTGCTTTACTTGATTATGCTATTTCCACGAAAATAAACGCAATGCTAATCGTTATACTTTGATTTAGGCCAGAGCCAACCTCTTAGACGTGATGTTAGCAAGCAGCGAAAGTTCCTCGGCGACATCGAGCAGCGGTTCGGCGGGCAGCGACTCGGGGGATGAACCACCTGATTACCGCCACTTGCATAGATTACACCGGTACCGACGGCAAAAGAAAGGTATTTGTCTTCGGGCATCTACTCCGTAGACACTTTCGCCATGCCGTTTTCGCGCATCACCACTCACCTTTGCGCAAAATGCGTAATTTAAATGCGATTTTACGATCACTATCATTCTTTGCGCCTCATCCTTGACTAACACAACTTCTATCGACAACTGTTTAACACTCTCATTGCGCTTTTTGTTTAAAGTTGTAACAAAATTTTCTGAACCAGCGTGGAAACATGCAAAAAGCTTGAGGCTAAAGCATTTGATTAAAAAAGTCTAACATTGGGTGTTTATACGTTGTATGCAGAACATCTGAATCACCATTTTATACATGATCTATTTTGGTGGATAAAATGCTGCTACATTAGTTTTAGATTACATATATTTTCTTTAAATACATGGAATACTTTAGTAATTCTCGGATTATATTTAGAATCAGTCTTGTGTGTGTACCTTATTTGCCAAATCGTGTTTGCGTTATTAAATTTAAAGCAAAGACCATATACTCGTACGTTAGATAATAGTCGATTGCCTAACACGTATAATCGCCTAATGTTAAAGAAAACAAGCTTGACGACGCTCTAGAGAGTTTGGGTGGTGTGCGAACAGCGCTTGCTCTCATAAGCTTAAGACGGCAAACACGTCTACACTCTTCTCGCTACACACCAAAGGCGACGCCACACTTTGACACGCCACGTGACACTCGATCGAGCGACTATTTTATCTACTCTCGCAGTTACTTTAGACACTCGCAATTAACACAGTACAATTACAGTACAATCGGCGTTACTATCCCCGCTCGCGTTCAGTAGCCTTTTCGCTGTACATAGCCTTTTCCATATTTTCTGTTCAGATGGTAGCTCCTACGCGGTGTGCTTTGATTGTCACAAGAAAAGCTACGTAGTTCGGCTTAGTGACGATCAGTTTCTATAAGCGACATGACCAATTGGGAGGAATGCATTGCCGCGCCGGGGAACCTATTTCGTCCTGAACTGAACCACGTGTTACGCCCACAACGGACTGACCATTGGTTTATACTAACAGAATTATTAACCGGCAGAGAACGTTCCTGGCGTAGCGCCCCTTCACGCAATTCCATCTCTCCGTCTCGTTCATGTGTATTTGCGTGGCCTACTTGGCACACATTGCCGTCCGAAAGTCTTGGGACAAGATACAGAAAGGTATATTGAATATAAATTAATATCGATCATATATAAATAATCAAAATGGTGAAATGCGTGTGTATATAATCAAAGAAGGAGATTACACTGTGTAATCAAACGTAGTGCAATTTCTTAAATGCATTATATCTAGTTTTATATGGATAATCAAACGTATAAACTATATCGACAAAAGCGCGAAGCAATTGAAAGCATCCAAAGACTTTTAGACAAGAGTGCAAGTTGATGTGCAGATTTTATGTCATTTAATATCCTTTCAAAAATGAAAAAATGCGTTAGCGATTGTGCAACATATGAGGCATATACATATAATCATCATGTATCGCTAAAATAAAGAACAGCTCCTCAAGTGGAATTGCGTCAGGGTTGTAAATTGAGAATAGTTACTTTCTCTCTCGTACTGCGTGCGAATTTGATCTCTAAACCTTCTTGGCACGTGCAAGACCGTTTCAGCATCTTCATCTTCGTTCTCGGCTCATTCTTGCTTTATTTCATTATACACCTGTCTATGTTGGATCATTAATTTCGCTATCATTCAATCACTCTTAATGTAAAATTGTCTGAGTGGATTTCTTTTTCTTGCCTCATACAAGTCTCATTAACATATATGTATAATTCTGATTAATTTATCATTATTCTCGAGCGAATCATAAATCATAATCATGTCATACAAAGAACGTTGGATAAATAGCGTGCAACATGTTTAACGAATAATTCTGTCAAAGGCAATTAGAAGTATCTTGTCGAAATTTATTATTCCTCAAGATTAGTACGTATATCTTTAGAATATTGTTAGTTACTTGCCAAAACAATTAGATTATCTCAACTTGTATAAAACCTACAGTAAAGCTTAGAATTAAGATGAGAAGATCTGGGAATGAGCAAGAATATCCACGTAACTTCTGTCCATGATTTATTCATAAACCTTATGAAAACGAATGCAATTAACGAAATTGTCGCACGCATCATTTGTTCGACGGTACACCATGCATCATCCACTCGGTCGTGCACCCGCCAAATGCCTAAATTCCACACAAAAAAGAAAACAGAGGTATAACCGGTGCGGTGGAGCGACAGTGGAAGGCGGAGAAACTATACGGACGGATAGAGAAGGCGTGAGAAAAGAGGCGTGAAAAGAGAAAGAAAGAACGAAAGAGGAATAGGGAAAGAGGGTGAGAGAGGGAGACGTGAAAGAGAGTGCTAAGCCGAGCTACTCTGTGTCTGCTAGAGCCGGTATAGAGAGAAGAGAGAGAGAGAGAGAGAGAGAGAGAAAGAGCGCAAAATCGAGTTGATCGAGTGAAGTCTGAGAGCAGCATCTGTTGACCCGCTGCTGTTGTGCCCTTGGTTTCTTCAGCGTCGGCGGCCCAGGCACATCGCGTTCTCCGGCTACCGTCCACCTGGGGCTCGTCCCGGCCGTCGATCATCGGCCGCGGCGATGACTTCTTCGTGCGCTACGGGGACAAGGAGCGCGAGGCGGTGGCCTCGTTTGACTTCCTCGACGAGTTCGTCGCGGCGACAACGACGACGATGGTGGCGGCGACGGTGGGACCCTCCTTGCTCGGCTCGGACAGCAGCCCCCTTGACCTGGACGATGATGCGCCGTCCGCCGATCTCAACAGCGACATCATGAAGCTCTCGCCGCTCTAGGGACAGCGACGGCGGCGGCGGATTGATATTGCGAAACGCGTGGAAATTTTTGTCTGAACGCGAGCTCTTCCCGGCTGATAAAACGTGGAGGTTCTATCGATTTTGTCGGGAAATCTAACTTTGTTTTACTCCCTTTTTAACCAATTGTACTTAATACGTTATATTTTTATTTAATGGAGAGACGGTTTTAAATCGAAATCAAAATGTTGCGAGTTTTGCAATTTGCGCAACGTGCTGGGAAAAGTTCAGTGAACGCGATACCACCGTCAAACATTCTTCCAAATCACGCCACTGATAGCGAATCAAAACCGCGCATCCTATCTAAACGTTCGATTTGATTCATTACGCGGTAAAAGGTAAATAACTATTCGCAACCAAATGTTCTAATGGGTGCGTTCCGTCAAAGATGGATTATTTTCTAATCGTATGAGAAATGTCACATTAGGTCAATGTCACTCGCTATCTCCTTACAATGAACGAAGAGAGAACGATTTGTACATTATCCTACAACGCCCTCGACACTACGGCTCGAGTTTCGAAATCTTACAGTCCTGACGTTTTATCACCAAGTAATTGGGGAAACTCGAGGTGTCGCGCGCGCCGAAGACTATAGATTTATAGTGTGAGACAAGAGCCTCATCTTGTCTCTTTTTCTCTGCGAGCTTCCTCTTACTCGAGATATAAATAACGCACTGTGGTACAGTCGGATGTAAACGAAAAGCATAAGTTGATCGACTAGGGTAAGCTGGCCCGAGCTAGATACAATTCGCATCCAGGTCTGATCCCAGATTGTTCCCAGCTAGAGCCAGCCGGTGTCAAGTTAAATAGAGCAGCGATATCTTTTTCAGCGTAAAGCTACATAAATTTTGAGTTATATTTGCACTATACTTCGATGCAAACTTCCTAAACAAAAAGGATCTACTAATGGGTAATGTGCGGATAAATATTAATCAAAGAATTAGCGATAAGGATATATAAGCCGTAGTCGACCTGTGACACTAAAGTAGCGTGTACGACGAGCACGGATTGCCACGATTGGAAGGCTCTCGTACCGGAATGAACGCACACCGACGACATAGACGTAGATTTAATTCATCCTCATAGTCTTTTTACCAACATTTCGGGTATTGTATACGATTGTTATAAAAAGCAAGATCTCTGATGGCCTAAAAATTAAAAAGCAATGTTCTGTTAACGAATATTAGACTTATCGACATACTTATACGTCCCAGGCAAGTTTTAATTTAATTAAGAAATCGTGTCACGATTACATTTAACTTCTAAAGACGTAATGTAATCCTTAGTTTAGTACTTGGAAAATTGAGAATTGAGAAATTAGCAATTTTATTAAATAATTGACTCTATCGGAGATCTTGCATTTGATTAAGACTAAATATTATTTCCAGGGAGAATGCATTTTAAACAATATAAAGTATCATCGAATCATGACTTCGAAACGTATCACGGCACGATCACCTTCCAAAGTGAGCTTAGAGAGAGGTACTAGACAGGTAGATTAAGAGGTACTCGTCGATTTTCTATGAACCGCTAGATATTTTATACTCTACCCTTTCCTACCCTCCAGTCCCGTCATCAACTAGCGCCAAGAGCCGCGAATATCGTTAACTGACAATTCGGTCCACGCGTGATGAACTATTTTCTTCTGTCCTTAGAAATAAGAACGTAAACGAGCCTGTACATTTCGCTTCCGAACTTTGTAACATAGTAGATTGTGAGCGAGAGAAAGATTTTTGTGCGTAAAAAAAAAGATAACGATTACTTTGTTGCGTGAACGAAAACAGGGAGTCACACCTCGGCGTAATTTGTACGAAATTCGTCCCGGGATGAGCGAATTTCTGAGTAACGTGTTTGATCGGATTATAGGCGTAATATCATTAGCGTACATAAATTTAAGGTAACGAGTCGATATGGATCGAGATATTTTACACGTAGCCGTATACCCGCATGACGAGGTTCAATATTCGAGGTGAAGAGGCTGCACGGATGTTAAAAGTTGTCTCGCATTTGCTTGCGTTGCTGCTGTTCTAGTCAAGCAAGTGAGACCATGATTTTTCTTTTACAATCCAGAGCCTGGTCGCGTTTATCAACCCTGCACTGCATACTCGTTATTCATACAGCAGGCACTGATTAACGTTAGAAAGTAGTAGTCTGAACAATTTGGAAGACATGTTTAAGCTACGAAGAGCTAGATGATCTCATGATTTTTTTAAATAACGTAACGTCACCTTCGCTAGGCCAATGATTCGCAAACATTCGACAAAGCTTTAACAATATTTAATTATGATGTTCGTCATATGTTAATGATATTTTATGTCGTCACGTTCGTATTTAAGGCGACACGGTGAATAAATACGATTAAATGATTAAATTATGTATCTTTTACTGTTATTATTTATTAAACAATAATAAAACTAATAAGTGTGATGTTAAAATATCATTAACGGTTTACGTAAAAAGAAATTTTGCAATTTATATCGGCATGTCGTGCAGGGTTAATTAGTGCTAATTAATGGTGATCTTAAAAGATTATTTCCGTTGTCGCTATATTAATCCCGATCGAGAGGCCGTAATTTATTTGAATATTTATTTTAATTATAATGCAAAACTTGTTGTAGAGGAGTAAAACTCCCTTCTCGAGGAAACAACTTTCGTCCTGCAGCCTGAAAATGATAGACTAACGACATAGCTTTAAGATGTTTGTAAGTTCTATATTGGGGACAGCAATGTGTCTCCACCTTTATTCCCGGTCGCAGTAGCAGCGAAGTCAAACGGTAATCGTGTGAAATGAGACTTGCTGAACGACGATGTACATAGTATGTATCATAGCTCAATGCAAATGTAAGTTATCCTCTCTTGAACTTAATAAATAACGACAATATATGAACGTAAAGGGAAAAGTTGGCTTGTAACCGAGTGTTGTTATTTATATTTGTGCAGAGCTGGAGTTTTATTTCTTATGCAGCAACGGTGGAAAAAGGAGCAATGATAATGGTAATGATAATTGTAAAATACACATTGCATTGAAAATAACAACGATATGAAATAACGAAAGCGATGTAACATTATATCTGTGGATTAATGATCGACGAAAATTGCGATTTTGCATTGGTAATTTTGAAATCATTACGTAAAGATTTTTCTTTTTCTATCTTTTAAAATAGGTGTAAACATACGAGGATAGGATATTGAAATATATCACCGTATATAGAAAAAGAAAGGTAGGAATATAGTTTGAAAAGAATTTTAATAAGATTTATTTTTCTTCCATCAAACTTTCCGCGTTAGACACCTACCTTTCTGAAAATAGCTGTCAAAAGCTGAGTGGAAATATTTTGTAAGTACAATATTATTTCTATGTGCCTGTTGATTTCTTTGTTGCATTTCTTTTCCTTATAGAGTTCGCGAAGTACAGTGCGAAGATCAAGCAGATAAACTGAAAGAAAACGAAATAAAATATATGTACAATTGATTAGAACAATTTACAAATCCGCAGACAAAATCTTGCCAGCTGAAAATTTATGTTTCAGCATAAAAACGTTTCTGCCCTTACAGAAATGTAACAGCTGGGCATGAAAAAAGCACTGAACAATTACTAGAGTTGAGTAATTTAACTATTAGAAATTACTGATGTACAATAATTTTCTGGTAATTATTTCGCTTACATTTCTATAAGGGTGAGATGAGATAAAATCACGATTATTTCATCTCGTGTGTCTTCCTATCATATTCGGTCTATATAATATTTGCAATTTTATGTAATTTCTTGATGCTGTTTACCTCAACTATGGATGCCAACAGAGTGAAGATGCCCATTACATAATTATAATATATCAAAAAAGAAGTCCTTAGATTAAACACGCAACCGAATGAGGATCTCAGACTACTCATACTGCACATTCCATTTTCCCAAAAATCATGGCAGCAACTGGCTGGGATTGGTTGACCAAGATCCCAGTAATCATAGTAGCTACGAATACCACAGCAATGTAACTGCAAAAGATTTTATGTCGTAATATTTTGATCCGATTTGTAAACACTTACATTTATTCAGGCATTTTGCACTCAATTATGATATTCAAGATATAAATGTTTCAGTTTACTACACGCAGCTTTGTTGAAGACTCGAATAACTGTACAATATGCTCTGTACGCTGCGTGCGTGAATTATATTACTGCTTGAAAATCTTACTCCGTGCTGAATAAGATCTACAAACTTGGTGTCCTCCCAACGGAAACCGTAGTTTATGAAGGCGTCTTTGAATTTGGTAACGAAATCTTCCGATATCACCACGAGCATGTGGATGGCAGCAGCTGATTGTACAATCAGGATAATCAAGAATAAAGATGCGAACTGTTCGAAAGCAGTGACATTAATCGCTTCGATCCTTTTCGGTTAAATAAAGAAAACTATGCTATTAAAATTAAACTATCGCCAAAACGATATTACACGCGTCTAGTGGACGCGAATTACAATAGTTTAATAAGGTGTCATCGGTCGCTGATAAGGAATTTCGATGAAACGCGCTCGGTGTCGCGTAAGAAGATAACGCTGAATAATGCGCGGAGAAATTCTCACCATGGCGGTAATGCAGAAACGGTTATAGGTGGGTCGATTTCTGAACGTTGCGTTGCCGAAATACAGTATGCTGTATCCACCAGCGCAAAAGGCGAAAGCAAGAAGGGCACAGCCGGCGCCGATAAGCATCTCCAACGAAACCGCGACCATTTCACGTTCAAAAGTTTTGATCTCGAAAACGTACGCTACCGCAGCCCAAATTGTCGTGCACGCCCCACGTAGCTGTAATCATCGTAAGTATACGTCACCAGAGATACAAATTGCAAATCGTTCAAGGTGAGACATGTATGATGCGGTACCATCGTTGTCGAAAATAACGAACGTCGTGGTATCACGGCGCTATTTCGGTTCGCAAGTACTTACCAGGAGATGAACGTTAAACGTGTAAAAGAAATATTTCTCCAACTCAGGCCTATTGAACGAAAAACTTTTTAACACGCCCATTTTGCTCGTAGATCTCCTCACCGGTCACAGCGTGCGCGAAGAAATTCGATGGACTGATCAGAGCAGATTCAGCAATTTGTAGTACGCGATACTGATTAGTCGCATGGATATGATAACGCTCGAGCGTCGTTGGATGATAGATAAGCACGTTTTTCACACATACTGCTCAGCGTCAAAGAGTACGCGAGTACGAAATTCGAAGGCAAATATTCGAATCCTGCCGTTTTGCTTCCCCGAATTGTTCAGCGAATTCTATATGAATAAGACTCGAATTAATCGCATAAATCGGAATTTAAATGCAACTTAATTTTCAGAAGCATTGGCGATCTAGTCCAGTTTAGAAAACATGTATAAAAAAATATGTTTATAGAGGAAAGTCCCCTATTGTGAAATAGGCTTCTGATGTGAGACAACAGGTTTTTCAACGTCCAAATTCAATCACAAATCTTTTTTCGCGACGATTACACGATTTAACAATGAATTTTCCACTAAAAATTTCACTTCAAGAGCAATAAACCCATGGTGGAACCAATAGATGCTTGTTAATTTAACAGAAACCCTGCTATCTCGTATTAGGAACTTGCCTCATAATAGGGGACTTTCCTCTACTATTTTATTCCCGCATTCGTAACTTGGCAAAGCCATTCTGAGTTCAATCGAATCGCTTAGAACAAAATTTCTAATTATTAATTAACAATATAAATAATTCATCGTTTTAGATCCAATATATTCAACAAAAAGGAATTCAATCAACTCACTTTATGTTTTCTTCCAGGTTTTAAAAATTAGAAAAAGATAAAAAGTAATTTAAGCCGAGATTAAAGTTAATCTGCAGTGGTAGAAACACGAGCATAAGCCGAAGAACAACTCTGCTACAGGTAGTATAAAAGAGAAATAAAGAACTGGCTCGGACAAAGTTCTCGTTTGTCTACATTTATTTTATGAATACAAAAACCTGGACATACATAATTTCATCTCGCAGCAACGGCAGCAGCAGCGACAGCAGCAGCGGCGGTAGCAGCAACGATGGTAATTTCGCGCATTAAACGACAAGTAAAATTGCAACTTTGGATTATTAATCGCATACATATTTTCTCGTGCCGTGCCTTTTGTACGTTTTATCGTGGTCGAGCCTAAGAAGAAATATTGCAAACTAGCATCAACTAGTTTGTCGCCCGTGGGCACGACGACGGGATTTCTTTAAGTATTTTTTATTATAAGACAAAATATATATATGTATATATTTGTAAATCACAATATCTGTACCGTTGTGCTGTACAAACAAAGTGAATTTTTATATAAAGATACATACGAGAATTTCGTGTTTTTAAGCGATGTGATGTCTTCGCAGGTACGATTGTGTAGCTCTTCGTGTGAAAAAATATCTTTGTAACATTAACTTTATAAAATACTATAACTCATCTGTTTTCCCCACGAAGGTACTTGAATTAGTTTCATTTGCAAACTAACGATTGCACGAGGCAATCCTAACATATTATGCATATTAAACAATTATGTCAAAGATTTTTTTATATTTTTGAACTTTTATGTAGAACAGGTATATAAATGTGAGTCAAAGCGGTACCGTATCAAAATATATGTACATGTATAATTGTATAAAAAAGGAGTTATTTCCACAAAGAAAAAAGAAAATGTGGTCCGAGACCCGACAGAAGTTACGGTAATACTCATTGTCAGGTCGATGACGCCGAACTCTTTTCAATTCTCTTAATCAAAGAACAAACATGCGTCATTTTATAGAAAAAAAATATTATGTTTTTACTTTAATTTCGACTGCAAAGAAATTAATGACGCAAAGATACCGGAAAAGAAAACATAAGGAGATACTCTGCTTCATTCCGCTTAGAAAAAAGAAACGAGAAATTTAATTTATTATAATCCCGTTGTAAAGCGCAAGTTTTTTATCACATCTTATAGGCGAAACATGTTGACAGTAGATGAAGGTAAGATTGTTGTTGCGTGTTGAAAGCCTTCCGCGCGCGCGAAGCGGCGTCTTTCGCAATGCTCCACTTTTACACACTGTAACCTCTGCGTTCGGCGTTCTTTATGGAATTCGCTAGGCACAGAGCGAAGATAATGCCAATCAACTGAAAAAAAAGAAAGAAACAAGACACGTATAATTTCCGTAAGATATTCATACACACGAATTGGAAAGCAAAATATATATTGGATATAATGTGTGACTATATATTTGAAAACTTAAATGAACGCTTAAATTTTGGACGGTTTAGTCACATCGGAATTGAGAGTTAAAACTCTATTTTATAAATCGTGCACTTTGACATTTTTTGTATTTCGACGCGCATGAAATTTATAGACAGAATGTTATCAGAAGGTGTAGATTGTCCTTTCCGAGCTGCACAATTATTATTTCATCATGTTTTCCGATTATCGCATAGGTGCGATAATTGCATAGTTTTATTTAACTTTCTAGTTAACTGGCGTTCCTTACCTCCGCAGCAGCAATACCCAGTGCGACACCGCCCAATATCGTAAGAGCTTTCTTAAAGAGATCCTGCAGCGCCGACACGCAACCTGTCTTGTAAGCGTCTACTGTACTGCAGTTATCGGACGCATTTTTACCGCAGCAACTTCCTGGGATAGCCATGCTATTCCGGAGGAAATCGTTGTAGCTGTCAACACCACAGCACTGCAACTGCAAAAGTACATCTCACGTTTGAATACTGATCTGTTTACGAATCTGTAACTGTTACCTCGAAGGTATTCAGGTATATACGGTTCAATGTTATATTCAGTTATTCCGCTCGAGACATGAATAATTCATAATATTCCATTAGAATGGGGCTTATATTCGCATAACAATGCAGTAGTACGTTGTTGCACGTGAAAAGACATATTAAATACATTCTAAAAGGTCTTACTCCATCTTGTATGGTATCCACGAGGTCTCTCTCCTCCTGATGGTCCTTGTACTTGTTGAAGAGGTTGACCACGTACGCGTCCTTAAAACTAATCTCGCCAGAGTTCTTCACTGTGACGAACACGTAGATTGAGACAGCCACTTGTATGATCAGGATCGTCAGCAGCAAACATGCAAACTGCGCGGAAGAAACATATCAATTAACACAATTTTTATTCCTTTTCAGACGGACAAAGCCGTCTGCGCGTCAAATGGCCAAGCTGTTTAATCCGTTCGCTCACAATCGTGAACGGCACGTATATTACAATTGTTTATCATCGATTCAACGAGCTCGCTTCAAGCTTGATGCCGTCAAAAGTTTCTCGCTTGAAAATAATTTAATAACGAATTCTGCAAGGTAATTTCTTTGTAATTTTATAATAACTAGTCACCTGAAATTTGTATATTCTTGAAGCAATAAGCAAATAAACGTGTAAATCACATGTGAGATAAATGTCTATAAATGTAACAAACTTGAATCTTTGCAGTCAATTTAATAAGTGCAATATATTTTAATTAATTGACTTGTTGCTTTTTACACGTTGAGGATTTTAATAAATCATTGACACCAACACCTAGTTTAGACTCTCAATTTGCTGGATGTTTCAATACATTTTAATTTTACGCGTTCCACACACGTGTTTCGAATAGCGTAGTAAATTTCCATTTTCATTTCCAGAATCGAGCGTGACATATTCGATGTACAAGTCAAGACCGAAAGGGTTAAGCGTCCCCTCAAGTTGCACGAAAGGGTGAAATTTGCTTACCGTGACCATCATACAGTGACTCTCGCGAATCGCACCGCAGCATCCTAGGAAAGCGATGACAAAGATGATGCTGCCGATGACGATCAACGTGACCGCCGGGAACGTCAGATTACTAGTGATTTCGTCCAGGTGTTTGGAGTAATGTGATTTTCCTACTTGCACTAAAACGCCGAGAACCAGGATGGCCAGGCCACATAGCTGCAACAATACATTTTATATTTGCACGCATATCATCTTCGCTTCATCGCATGTATTTAATGACGTTCCTTTATTGTTGTACCTAATAATTTTATTTAATTTTTTTCACACAGCTTATTGTGCACGTCTCGCTGCTTTCCTCGCGCTAGAAGGAAAATGTTGCCAAGAACCAAAATATCATCGGAAATCGCAATTGCAACTTTTGTATAACTCGTAACCATTTCTACCAATGCAGATTAACTTTGATTTTCATCTCTTTCTAGTTTCAGGAATTGGAAAAAAATAAAAGCTTTTAGTGAATTCGATTGCTTGCACTAGTGATCATTTTTTGCCTATCCTACTCTTTGAACGTGTATTTAAGACAAAGTTAGATATAAGAATTGGCTATAAACAAGCTTACTCAGTGCGCACTAGTGCGAGCAACCGAATTCGCTATTAGTTAAGCACGGGTTAAAAATGGTAGAAACGGGCATCAGTCCGACTCTGGCGATGTTTATTCGAATGTAGATTACGAGGTGTTGCCGGCAAATGTGCACTCAACAATTATTACCTAATACTCCGCGAGGATAGAAATAGATGAAAGATGTGGTGAACAACCACTGGTGTATATCGAACGGTCCCAGATATCTGGAAATCGTCCTTGAAACATCGTATGTGCGCGCGCGCGCGTTATTTTTACACGTTGCCGCGCACGTGTTATGGTCGATCTTGAGATCGCCGCAGGTGGACTAATGCACTTATACTATGTAAGTAAAACGCAGAACGCGGACAGTCTAAGTGCGTTCCTCCAATCGATTCAACCTTTAATAATTTCCGCCCTAGTTTCAGAGCGGCCAGAACTCTGTCGTAAAATGCACCGTGTATCGAGTAGCGAGGGAAAAGGCAGGAATGCAGCAGGAAAGTCATTCTTCACGGCAATGCCCGTGTTTTAATAACGACGTAAGATCGGCGAGCGATCGATAGTAATTAATTAATGATCGATCGCTAATACTACATACTGCTTGCGCTTTCGATTGGAACTTTCTGCAGAGTTTCGCGTTAGGCGCCTCGTGGATCGTGTGTTTGCTGATTGGGAGACCGTTCTGCCCGCCTAAGTAAGGAAGCCTTAATTCCAGAAATGAAAACTTTTCCGGACATAAAAATTCAATCGACCGCATTAACGTACTTATTTTTTAAGTAATCAATTTAATTAGTAAATTTAATGGTCAACTGAGCGCTAATGTTGATCGTCCTAAACAATTTTCATTTTCATTTCTGTAATTTTCTCTCTCGGGAGGACAGTGTCGCGAGGGCCCGATTTTTATTTCACCCGCGAGGTACATCGAAATTATCTGCGCGAGTGTGGACGACAATGTGTGTGCACGCGTGCACGTGTGTCTGTCGAGATGACATCATCGCATCCATAGCAACGTCCTCGGTGCCGACTTCCTCCTCGAAATTACGAGTGTTTGACGACGGCGTCGCCTTCGTGACTATCGCAGAAGCGACTAGTGCTCCTGCTCGCGTGATTAATAAACGTGATTGTCCAATCACGGAGAGAAACTGGTTTGGCGTCGACGGTGGAATTGGAAAAACTGCCAAACTCTCCTCGTCTCGCACACGCGCGAAATATCGTCGCTTCGAAAGGAGCCTAGATTTTCTTACGGTTACTATACGATGATCGATAAGATAAGTATCGATCGGCCTAGATAACTCTGCCCAAGGTCCAAATGTAATGTTTGCTCGCGTCTAAAGGAAGTCGAAAACGCGCGATTCACTCTGTTGCACGTCGTTACGTGCAGCGTGGGAGAGAATTCATTTATCGCAACGGTGAAAACATTCGGAGATAATAAATGTGGGGAAAGGAGAAGCGACACGCGGAAAGCACATTTTTCCTTCTTTCGATTAATATTAACCCGAGATTCGCGAAACGAAAGATAACGCGTCAGATACATGTTTCTCGTGTCACCGATAAAATTAATATTTATGAGTAATAGTATCAGAAGCGCCGTATCACTCAATTCTCCGCAGCCCGATAACCTCGGATAACGAACGTGAATAACAATTAATCATCTCTGATATCAAATCGGCGAGTAGATTTTCAGGACTGTCGTGTTTCGCGCGGAATCAATTCACGCGTAAATTGTCGCGAGCCCCCTCGAGGTATCTTTTGCAACTTGAAAAACTCTTTGTAAAATTACTTGTGACGCAGCAGAAGAAAGATTACACAAGAAGCTCCTTTGTATTTGCCGATAATTCAAGTTGTTTTTTTTTCCTTTGTGAGATCTGAGAGAATGCACGCTGAAGGAAATGCCGCGCGAATTTAACGCGAGCTTATTGTCGAACATGAAACTAGATGGATCGGAGCAACGTGGAAAATTTGCGCGCCGAAGGACGCAATCGCGAAGATAGTGCATTGCACACGTGACACCCGTAAGGCGTGACGCGATAATTACGGAAAATGAGACACCGGGGAATGCCCGACAGTATTGGCGAACGACGGAGCACGAAAATTGTAGACGCTGCTGAATGTATAATATAATGCAACGAGCGGCGGTTGCGAAATAAACGCGACATACGGGAAACTCTCGTGCAAGGCTGATTGTCTCAAAGTATCGCATAATGCAATTTGGAAACCGAACAACAGGAAGCTCGCAGCCATTGTCGCTTTAATGGCTCGATCATCAACAGAATCATCTCGTTTTAATTACAGCTAATAATGAGTAGTTTTCTGGCCGATGGTCAAAATGAGAATTGCACCGTGAGGGCAAGGATATTTTTCTATGTGTCAAAAGAATAACGTATATAAATTCTGTTGCGAATTAACTGCAAGATAACGTCTGTCGCTTGTTCGCCAAGTCCAGACTTGGTTCATTTTTCTCCTCAAGTACCAGTTCTGATAACAGTTTTAACGTCGATATAAGTCACTCTTTTAAAGCGACAGCTAATGTATGGAAATATCGAATGGAAATTGATGTTCCTTATTTAAAGGAACATTGTATCCTCTAATTACTCGTTTTACCTCTAGAGATATATCGAGTTATATTTAGAATCTAATATTCATAATGGATTAATTTGCGGAAAGTAGTCTCTCAGGAAGAACGAGCTGACATAGCTCGTGAATACGGATCGTAATACTTCAATTTTAAACACTAGCAGATTTAAAGCCTGCGATCTTTTCTTCGAACGCTACAATCGTACGCGATAAAATAACAGTCGGTTAGATAATACTTCAGTGCAATTAAATGTCGTGACAAACATGTTATCAAACTAATTGATAAAATATACCAAGGTCTGTTACTTCTTTGCAAAGTTCTCGTTCATTTTTTCTTTTTTAGACACTGGTCATTACGACAATTGCTCTAACATTAAGGCCCGGTCTACAAAGAATTGTTAGTCGATAGTCAGAAGGTAGAAGAATTATATATCAATCCTTTTTCTTTCTGGGTGAAAGAAAAAGGATACTAAACGAGATATCTGCCCAATTTCTAGATAAGAACTTCCGGGAAAACGAACTGTTTGAAGGGACAGGATCGTCATCTGGTGCATCAGCTCTTCTGGACACACCTAATGTACAGTCACGCTGCACAAAGTTGCGTAAGTAATCAGGAAAATTACGAGATAGTGTTGTTGCGGTTTTTGATAAAGAAAACAAAAAAGCGACGCGATTATCCGCGCGTCAGGAACATAACAAGCGCTCCAACAAACATGTAATGTTGTTGGTTTTTTCCCTTGTAAATGTTATCTCTGTCAAGAACCGATGTTCGTAATCGAGCGTTGTCGTGTTCACGCAAATTTTTATCATTGAAAACGTATATGTATATACGTGAAAACAGAAGTTAGGACAACACTGTTACCGTGAAAGTAATTGATTAGGGGAAACAATTCTACAGTTTATTCCTGAAGTACATAGATCGAACGATGTCTCTTATATATAACTTCAGTGCTTTTAGCGTTTAAAACCCAAGTATTATGATTCGTATTCATGAGTTAAGTCAACTCGTTTTTCTTGAGAGACTACTTTCTGCAAATTAATCCCCTTATGCATATTAGATGCTAAATATAACTTTATTCGAATATGAGCTACTTAAGTAGATGATTAATTATCTATGTAAACAATTTTATTTATTGACGGTTTTTTTATTGGTATTTATTGACGATTCAATGTGATGAATATTTTTGGAATTTATTTGTACGACTGTCTTTGTGTAATTTGAACAATTAATGCTAATATTAGATAAGACATCTAAAGCGTCAAGTGCAAGTATAAAATCGGAAGCCTCTAATCCTGCTAAATAAATTAGGAAGTTAAGACTATTTTAGAGGATCCTAAGAATTCTATTTATAAATTTATAGACTGTACATTTTGATGTATGTATTTTACATATTTCTTACGTATTTACACATTATTGTATTTTATATATTTTATAATATGCTTTGATTCTTCCAATTTTTTTCTATTATACGACACAAAATTATAAATTCTACCGTGAATTTCGGCACGAATTCTGATTCGTATTAAAGTGGACTGTAAGAATACAAGCTAGGTAAAGAAAATTTACGTCCTCGTTATGTGATAAAAACGATCCGAGCGAGAGTCCACCATGCACACGTACGATTCGATAAATATTCATGGAGCGATTCCATAAATGACTATGAATCGGTATTGCTTGATTAATTTACAGGCAGACGTTGAATATTCTAATCATCCTAGTTGTTAATAGGAGATCCAATTAGCACATTATGCACTTTGTGAAGTGTACAATAGTGTCTTTTGACGTTCGTTCCGATAATTGAGCACTTGTCAATTATTATACAATAATTATTAACCGAGACTAGACAAGCCGCGTTGTCGTTTTGCAAAGCAAACAAATCGTACACTCTCGAAAATTAACTCGTAAGAACGATGGCACCGCGCTCGTGTATGAGAGATGAACAGAACCGTTCTCTCAAGGGCGTCCGTAAAAACCGACAACCATCTTTCACTCGCAGCCATGTATAATCTGACCTTTTCTTTCCGT